CACCAGCAATTTCTTATACGGTCTGTCGAGTAGCAAATTACAATCAGTCAGCTTCGATGACCCTTTACCTTCCTGAGCCTGGAGCCAAATTTACTGAGACAGCGTCTCCAACGCTACCGGTCCTGTGTCAGCGTTTGAGCTTCAGCAGAAGATAACTCAGATCTGGAGCAGAGACCTTCGATGCATTTGCCCTAAAGGTGATCTTGGCGGTCCGCTGAGTTTTCCGTTGGTCAACTTGGCAAGTAGTAGTTGCTTTCCTTTTTTTCTGGAGGTATTCGCATCACCTGCGAATACCATCGCAGCTGTGACTTCTCAATCTGAAGAAGTAGCAGTTATACACCAAGGCTGACTGGCTATTCGTACTCCTCGTAATATCGAGAACTCTAAGGCTAGCGACTCATCTCAGAAGGCCCATTTCAGCTGATTGTGCCCTGGATCAAAAGTTTTTCTTTCAGGGCCCATGACTCATGACTGTAGGTGAGCATGGAGATGAAGATCTACTTTTACACCAAGTCTTTTACATTAGTCTTACTAACTATATCAGAAAGGGGACGGTGTTAAACTAGCAGTAGCTTGTCTCACATAGATATCGTCAACATCGTGGTTCATTTAACGATTAGATCTGCTGTAAATCTAGGCAAATCTGTTCTAACTGATCCCTCAATCCCTTGCATCAGGCTTTGTGTATCATGCCCTTAAAAATATGAGTCCATGAAGTCAAAATGTATCAGCTCGAGGATTGAAGCAAACCGAAATTTCTTCTGTCTCAAACTGTAAAAATCAGAAAACAAAAGGCAGGATGTTTCCGACTGGATTCTATCCGGCTAAACTATAGATACAGGTATAATTCATCAACATACTGATTTTTTACTATCATTCCCATATCCCTACCTTTATCATATCTTATTACTGTTTATTTGGCTTGCAGTTATTGTGCATTATATCTCTAACTATATACCAAAGAAGCAAATGACGCTTTTGTGCTGGATTTATGCTTCATTCCCGGAAAATTGGCTAGCAAACATTTTGTTTGATCAAATGAACGATATTCGTTTTCACCGTAAATGCCGTACCTTTGACAAGGTGCTCTGACCTGGTCCCTGTTCATATTTCAGGTTCATGAACAATAATGCAATGTAGATTCTCGTGCCGTCTCAATTAGCAGTATTGTGCTAACTGATGAGTTTCTGTCAATATTAGTGAGTCGCATGGCATTGTTCCTAAGTTTATTTGGGAACTCCATCATGGAAGAATAAGATGCCGTTAATGATGTAGCATTTACTCCTACCGTATCAGCTTCGTCTAGAAGTGCGATGCGATTTCCAACACTTCATGAAAAGTGGTGTCCATTCGGAACTAGCAAAGAAATACCATTGGGAATACGTAAGGTTCACCAGAGCGTGTATGGTCCGGTAGTTTCATGGCTACCGACATTTGCTCTTACGTATTTCGCTCTGTTATATGACTGATTACTCTCATGTAAACAATAGTTGAATTTTGATGATTCTGTTGCTAATTCTGGCTCTTAAGGAATATATATATTTTCAAAGCGCATGTTA